TTGTCAATAATTTTAATTTAATATTTCCTACAGATGCAGTCTGCTTTTCAGAAAAGAAGGAATTGTTATTGTATAAATTATAATTTAATGTTTTCTTTGTGTCTGCTTCAATTTATTTAATGAGTTGTAAATGTCCCTCTATTCTCAACACATGCAATTCTTGACCTATTTTCTCAGGTCCTTTCCTTTCCAAAGAAAGTATTTCTTAAAAAGACTCAACCGGTAATGTTAAATTTACAAATGTCCCATCATATGATGCAAGATTCCCCACAGAATAGATGCATACAAAGATAGTGTACTGTATATCAGGTGACATACAGTGCCAAACAGGAATGTTTTCAAGTTGACCTTGAATATGTTAAAGGACTTACAGAACAGATATCAGACAGGAACGTAAGTACAAGATTATTCTCTATGTCTGGCATTTGTAATAGACATAAAAAAGATACCAAGCTGATTATTTGATCCAAAATAAAATTCTCATCTAAGGTTAAAAAAAGAAAATTCAGATGTATTGTCTTTTATCAAGGTTAGTAAAATCCTCATAGGTAGATCATCACATTAAGTGCCCTGAATCATTGCCTTGGAGGGTGGTTTATTTCTTCGTTACAGCCTGCAGTACCATCCATGTCTAGGGCATTGACAGCTGCTCCACCCGTTAGTATTAATGAATTATCAATGTGCATCCCACACACATCCACCAAAGAGCCAAAGACATCCCGCCTACACACTGCTTTGTTTTGAATCCTCCAAATGTTGCAGGGTGGCAGTTTCAAATGGAAATCACTGAATATAGCATGCATTATCTCCCAGAACTAGGACTAATGTCTTATAGGAGTAGAAAGGAACTGTAACCTCATTCATCTGTTAAGATAGGTCACAGTAGCTTCCACATCTTTGTCTTAAGGAGCATGTGTGATCCTTATACAAATAAAACTGTACTGCTGTGGCATTTCATTAAGAGAAATTCTTTTTTATTATTATACTTAATCTTTTTTTACAATCCAGTAATTATCCCCCTCCTGTTCTGCCCTCTAACAGTTACTCATCCCATTCCTCCTCCCGTCTCCAAAAGGATCTCCCCACCCCCACACCTCCCCACATGCTGCCAGGCCTCCCCATTCCCTGGGGCCTCAAGTCTCTTAAGGATTAGGTGCATCTTCTCTTATTGAGTACAGACCAGGCAGTCCTCTGCTGTATATGTTTCAGGGACCTCAGACCAGCTAGTGTATGCTGCCTGGTTGGTGGCTCAGTGTCTAAGTTGGGGGTCTAGGTTTGTTGAGACTGCTAGTCTTCCTATGGGGTTGTCCTCCTCCTCAACTTCTCCCAGCCTTGTTTTAATTCAACCTCAGGGGTCCCCAAATTCAGGCCATTTGTTGTATGTGAGAATCTGCTTCTGTATCAGTCAGTTGCTTATTGGGCCTCTCAGAGGATAGCCATGCTAGGCGTCTGTCTGTAAACACATTATAGCACCAGCAATAGTGTCAGGGCTTGGAGCTTCCCCTTAAGATGGGTCCCAATTTGAGCAGGTCATTGGACCTCCTTTCTTCCAGTCTCTTCTCCATTTTGTCCCTGCAGTTCTTTTAGACAGGAGCAATTCTGAGTCAGAACTTTTGACTGTGGGATGGCAACCCCATCCCTCCACTTGATGCCCTCACTCCCAAGGACACAATCCACAGAACTCAAGAAGTTTAACAAGCCAAAGAGACCAAGTGAGGATGCTTAAATCCCACTTGGGAGGAAGAAGAAAGCAGAGGGTAGAGGGAGGGAGGCAACTGGGTGGGAGAGGGGAGGGGAAGGGACAGAGAGAAAAGGGGAACATGATCAGGTATGGTGGGGGGAGGACCAGGAGTGAAGCCCCAAGGGCCAGCAGAATGAATGGAACTATATAACCTCGGGAGATAGGAAGTGAGGGGACCCTCTAGAATGTACCAGAGACCTGGGAGGTGAGAGACTCTTAAGACTCAAAGAGAGGGAACCTTAAATGAAATGCCCAACAGTGGGGAGAGGGAACTTGTAGAATACACCTCCAGTAGAAAGACAGGACATCAAGTGTCGGGATGGGGTTGCCATCCCACAGTCAAAAATGATGTTCTCATTCTTAATAGCTAAATAGTATTCCACTGTGGAAATGAACTACATTTTCTGTGTCCATTCTTCCATGTGGGACATATGGGTTGTTTCCAGCTTCTGGTATCACAAATAAGGCCACTATGAACATAGTGGAGCACGGGCCCTTGTAGCGTGGTGGAACATCCTTTGGGTATATGGCCAGGAGTTAAAACACAGCTGACATGACCATTTGTAATCTCTTCATTAAAATCTGCTGTGGTGCTTGTCTTTGAGGTGAGGTAAGACCCAAAATACCCAGAGTTTGTTTGACCTAACAGGTTTTCTGATCAAAAGAAAACCTAGGATATATGCACATGTAACTCTCACCCTGAACCCTTCAAAGAAAACTTAACTAATAGATAAGCTAAACATTAAAAAGAGAAAATTCTCTTCAACAGAGAAAATTATCTTTGCATCCAGAAGATTTTTCCATAGCTCATTATATATCCTCTTTCTTGGCCAGCTTCTCAGCCTTGCTTTTCATTTTTCATGTTCTTTAATATAGATGCATTTTTTCAACGTGTCAGTGAAAACTCAGAAATTGAATCTTTTTTGATTGTTTGTTTTTGTTTTTATTCGAGACAGGGCTTCTGTGTGTAGCCCTGGCTCTCCTAGAACTTACTCTGTAGACCAAGCTGGCCTTGAACTCAGAAATTTGCCTGCCTCTGCCTCCCAAGTGCTGGGATTAAAGGTATGTGCCGCCACTGCCCAGCTCAGAAATTGAATACTGTTACCATGTTTATACTACTACTTCACCTCTGCTACTTACACATCACTGTTCATGATTGTGGTGTTCAACTTCTAGCAGTTCATGTTGTCCTATGCTTCCATGGCCTTCACTCAATATGCAAGATTTTAAAGAGCGCACCAAGAGATATCTTATCAGGAAGAGAGTTCAACTGCAGACTTCTTTTTGGCACATTAGATGGCAAAGGTGTAAAGCGAGGCATTGGCATATATATGGCTCTTGATGAGCTCTTTACATGCTCTTGCCATCACCAAGATGCAGAATAATCACAACTTACACCTTTTATCCTGGCATGATTGTTGGTTGCTACTATTTACTTTAAAGTGGTCCTAGTTTGTATGGAAAAATGTTTCTTATGAAGCTATAGTCTCTTCCTCAAACATCAGGGTGACTTAGTTTCATTCATCAATTTCCTGTAGTCTACTTGGTACTAAAATGGAAAATAATTTAAATGTATCTGTCAATGCATGCTCATAAGCTATCCAATTCAATGGACTTACTTCCACCATTTCTGTTTTCTGACATTACAAACTCGCTATATACACATGCTATATAAGACACACTCATTGGATATGCCCCCACCCACCCTCCCACTCCCACCTCCCCACCCATGTTTTCCCCCACACTAGGGCATCCAGCCTTCACTAGACCAAGGACTTCCTTTCCCACCTATGCCTGACAATGTCATCCTCCCCTACATATACAGCTGGGGCCATGGGTCCCTCTCTATGTGCTCCCAAGCTGGTGGTTTAGACCCTGGGAGCTCTGGTTCTTTGGTATTGTTGCTCTCCCCATGGGGCTACAAACCCTTCCAGCTCCTTCAGTCTGCTCTCTCACTCCTCCATTGAGAACCCTGTGATCAGTTCAGTGATTAGCTGTGAGAGATAGAGGGTTTCTGGGTGGGGGGAAATGGGGAAAGGGGATTACATCTGAAATGTAAATAAAATATCCAATAAAAATTTTTTTTTTAAAAAAAGACACACTCATTACATAAAATGCCATAAAAAGGTCAGAGAATTTCACTGAAGAGATACCTTCATATAGAAACAGCTTGATTCCTTTTTAGCAGCTAGAAATAAAAATTAAGTATGGTGTATTTTACTATCTGTGGCATAATTTGAGCTCATAGTAGTGGTTATCATGGGACTATCAGATTGAGAGGAAGATACTTAGAAAATGTTTATTGAATACTTGCTATGCATCCAACATCAGATTATACAGAATAACTAAGACCTTGTGGAAGACTTCAAAGAACTCATGGACTAGTCATAGAGATAACCATGTAGAATAATAATTGTCCATTCTGATAAGTTTGTGCTACTACTTTATATGCTGCTAAGGGTATGTGAAGGAGCCATGAGTGAGCTAGTTGGGTATCCAGTGAGGGTCTGCAGCTTGAGAAATTCATTAAATAGGAAATGAGAGAATGGGCATCTAAGCTTTGGAAGAGGAGCAGAGTGGAAAGATAAGGAGGCCCTGTGTCAGTTTTGTGCTGAGGAAGTGTATGGTATTATACTGGCCATCATTCACTCTTACAAAACCATTACTGCTTCTCCTGTGTTCTTTATTCTATAATTGATAGATTAAGACCTATTATTGATCTAGTAAAGAAGGGAAGTTGAAATGTTAGACTTAAAAGAACCATAATTCCATAATTTTCTCTTATAATATGACTTGGAAAAATCATTGTAAAGCTTGTCCTTTCACCTCCAAAAAAATATATATATATACACACATATGCATATATATGTATATATAGACATATGTATAAAATGTATATGCATATATTATATTCTATCATAAAGGATCAATACAAGAATTAATGAAAACTCAGAATGCTATGCAAAGTGCAGTAAGAACTTTGTAATCATCAAACTTTATTAGACACATAAGACTGAGAGATGTAATGGTCTTAAAATTCAAATGGTAGGTTAACAAGTAGATCGATTATTTTATAACCATAACTTGAAACCACATGGAAAGAAGAAGCCTTTGCTTCTTCTGGGCCTGTGAATCAATGCTGAGTTCTGAATGCAATAGGCAAGGAACCCTGAGGATGCTGAGATGAACAATACTGTATAAACAACAGCATGGCTTTATTATTTTGTTCTCAACAGTGCTTTTTCTTTTTCTTGCTTAGGGACGAAACTTAGCTTCAGGAGAGGTTGGATTTTTCCCAAGTGATGCTGTCAAACCATCTCCATGTGTAAGTTCCCATATTTCACTTCCATCTCATTTTATTTTACCTTTGTTACTATGATCAATTGTGCAAGAAGGTGTACAGGATATTGACTGCCTAGATGCTCATTGGTTTTGTTAATATTTTCACAGGAGAGCAGGACTTACATGGTCTAATCTCACAGAATATACTTTAATTTGTGCTGAAAATACTTCAAATGTCAAGAAAGGATATGTAGCATGAAAACAAACTTAGAATTTACAATATTGTTTCAACATCTTTAGGGAAAGTAACCCAAAGCCACAGAGTAGATGGTACTGAGCAAGGTTTTCTTTCCTCGTTGAGGGTAAATGATCTAACCTACCCCTGGTCACCCAGGTTACGGGAAGTCATTGCTCTTCAACTGGGGTCTTTGAAAGCAAAGTAGAGGACAAAAAGTTCACAATTTTTTAACCAGGTCTCTGAATACATTTTCCATGCTTTAGAATGTCTCTTTTGTTTATTTAATATCATAATGAAATTTTCTGAAAATGGATAAAACAGGAATGGATGACTGACTCTCTTAGAATTTTAATTGCTGTGAAGAAACAGCATGACCATGGTAACTCTTATGAAAGAAAACATTTAATTGGAGCTAGCTTATAGTTCCAGATGCTTAGTCCGTTATCATCATGGCAGGAAGCATGTAGGCAGACATAGTGCTGGAGAAGGAGCAGGAGTTCTACATCTGGATCAGCAGGCAACAGGAACAGACTGAGACACATTTACTCCAACAAGGCCACACCTCCTCATACCCACTCCCTATGGGGCCTATGGGGGCCATTTTTATTCAAACTACTACAATGACTATTACTCAAATAATATGGATGAATATCACAGAAGATTATGCTTTGTGGAATTGATTCATTTCTATGTGGGTTAGTATTATGTTAACATCATAATTTTCCTTACAATCTTAAAGTTAATGAATACAGTATGATGAAATTTCTTTATGAATATGATTAAGATGGGAAATGCCCTCAAAATTCTTAAACAGTAGTTCTTGTTACATTCCCATGGCTTCTATACTTCTCAACTGCACATTCTTTTCGATATTACAAGGGTAATATCTGTCACCTTTAATTTGGGAATGTAATCTTACACCATTTATCCAAGCTTAATTATTTTTGAAAAGCAAAGAGAATTTTTCAAAACAGAGATTTGCTGTTCTATTTGCTACAGATAGATTGGTTGAATCTCACAGGTACAAATATAAGCAGCAATGTTTACATAACAGCAAGTGGCAAGAGATTTTAACATTCAGGCATTTGGGAGCCCTAATAAGCATTTAGTATACAAAGCCCTATTTTCTGTTTACAGCATCTTGCATGAGTTTTAGGAGTTTTGTTTAAAAATAGTCTGGCATAAAATGTATTTAAATTTGTTGAATGGATGAACAAAAGGATAAAAAAGCAAACGTGGGTCCCTCGATGCATGCAGATAATTAGCAAATGAAATCAGCTTATAGAATCCTACCATAAACCCTACCAAAAAAAAAAGGAAAATCATATATAGATATTTTAAGGTACTAAAGAGTTGTACAGTAATACATAGTCAGGAATAAAACAACCAGCTAAATGTCAATGCTCTTATAGCTTAAAGTAATAAATAGGTACTAAAGTGAGATGCTTACGTAATGAAATTATAGACTATCTTTTAGCTATAGAACCACCTGAATGAAACAAAGTAAACAGAAAGTAAACAGATTAAAGAGAGGAACAGGTTGCACGATCTTGAAAACTGCATCCCTTGATGATGGTATAAACTGTGAATTAGGGATCCATGAGTAGTGTTATGAATTCTATTCTGAGCTGAAAACTTATTTTTTTTTATGTGTGTTATTCTTTCCCTTCAAAAGTTCTGAGGCATGCTAGTGGGAGCCTCCAGGTTGGGGGACAAACTGCTGTACATAGATGAGGTCGTTAATTTATGGACCAGAGTGATTAGAGACCAAGCCTGAACTACAACACAGTGCAAACTTGGATGAGTGTGAATCTGGCAGTTGTTAGGGCCTGTTCCAGGAAAACACTACCCCATTTCTGTTGGTCTCAGTTCTGGTGTAGATTAGTAAAAAAGAGACAGTGATCTCCTTTTAATGATTTCTAAACTTAAGTGTAAAAGTCATCCATATGTAGGGCTGGAAGTCACATGAGCCGTGTTACGTAAATCATTCTCAGCAAGAAATATAATTAAAATGACTCAACATCAGTTGTTCCCTAACTTAAAAAAATAATACATATTCTGCCTGGTTTTTAGCCTCTTCACAGACAGCCTCCAAAGGGCCATTACAGATAAAACCTTCAGGGGCTATGAATCTACATGTTGGAACCATCCAACTGATGAGGAAATGGACCACTTTAGCCTAAGGTTAACAGAAGAAAAATATAGTCAACGAAAAATATATATTCATGTAGCAGATACAGGACAAGATATCTAAATCTATATTTAACATAACTGAAAACTAAAAAGGAGAGAGGAGGAGATTATCACACTACATGATTATCTGGGCCTGTCTATAAAAGACTCAGACGAGTAATTGAAGCAAAGATCTTAATGGGTATATTAGATGGCCTATCCAACATGGTTGAGTAGAAAATTGGAAGAAAAATCTGAAGAAGTTTCTAAAATGAGTCCGGAGAGATGAGGCAATGGAAAACTGTAACAGAGAATGAAATGATAAAATTCAAATGTAGCAAACTGTGGAGATTAAAGATAATTGTAGAAAAGCAGTACTCAAATAAATCATAGACAAGAACTTTCCAGATTTTACAGGAAAACTAATTTTAAAAATCAAGATGAGTAATTAAAAATTAATTAACAACCAGATATATTTTAATGAAACTTCAGAATATTAAAAATGACATGAAGTCCAACTTGAGAGAAAAGACAAATGTCTGTAAAAAGCATTAATAACTAGATTCAATACTAAAAAACAGCAGTAATTGAAAGTATTCTGCTGGTGATAGCCTGGGACTAGCTATCATGTTAGTGGTTCCCAGGTAACCAATAAATACTAAACAGTAATGAAAGGCTGTCTGAGGCTACTAGCTAGCAGGAAGGTTGACCAGTGGAGCTGGGAGTGCTATTGAATTGCCTGGTTTGGATACAAGCATGAGGCTGTAGCACTAAGGATGGCCAAACTTAAGATAGAAACCATATACTTCTCTGCCGTGAAGAATCAGAGTATGAAGTTTGAAGCACCATAATAGTCATGAGCGAAAACAATAGAAAAGATGGAGTCCTAGAAGGGAGAAACCTCAGGTTCTGTGTGTAAACACAAAAGCCCTGATAGAGTAGTGAAGCCAGTAATCCCTTCAGCTTGGGCTAAAAGAAGTTAACTGAGAAACCATCAACTGCTTTTTACAGAAAACCATCTAAAGTTAGAATTTAACCAGTTAACTTCCTGCTTTGAGACAAGACACATGCTTTGTGGGAATATAAGAATCCATAACTTCAGTTTCAATGATGGGATGCCTGTGTTAACAGAGATCTGAGATGACAAAGCGGTTGGTTATATTATTGGCTGTGGGCAGCACCATCTCTAAGCAGATGTGTCTGGGCTATATAAAAGAGCTAGCTAAGCACGTGCCAGAAAGCAAGCCAACAGACAGCGTTACTCTTTGCTTTCTGCCTCAAGCTTCTACCTTGAGTCCTTGCCTCGACTTTCCTAAATAATGGATTATGATCTGGAAGTACAAGATAATTATGCCTTGCTCCCCTTAGTTTTCTGTTCGTTTGTTTGTTTGTCAGTGTTTTATTACAGTGACAGAAAGCAAAATGGAACAGTAGTCAAGGATCTCACATAACAGAACATACCCACTGAAGAAGCACAGACTTCTCTGGGGAATTTTGGGATGGAATAGCCTCATTATATGTCACTCCTTACTTCCTGGATATACACTCTTTTCCAAACAGAGGAGAGACCGACCTCAGGTGAAGTGTGCAGAAGTTCTCGCCCATTCCTCTCTTCCTTCTTTGCCCATCTCTTCTAATGGAAAAGACCCAGGGACATCATGGAATCTGTCAAAAGTTGGCTGATTCATGAAGGTTTTGCAAACTCAAAGCAGATGATCTATAGTCTACCTTTTCCTCAATAGCTTGTAAATAGCCACCTCTTCTGTAGCATGTGTTTTATTGTGCATTTTTTGACTACTGCTATACATACGTTGGCTTTCTTCATTTTCTAGTTGCTGCCATCAGCTAGAATACGCTTTATTTGTCCGCAAAATGTAATATCTTCACTTGTGTACATCTCTATATATAAAAAATGGAAAATGTGGATATTTTTCATGATTTTTTTAACAGATAAAACATTTTCTTGTTGGAAGATTTTGGAATTGGAGTTTAGAATTTATATTACAAAATAGCATCTACATCCAGTGTGTCCAGTTTATTTCACATGTCTTTGTTTGTTTGTTTATTTGTTTGAGGGAAGGGAAGGGCTATTTGGTTTCCCTAATAACATTTTCATTTTAGCTTTCTAGGCTGGATTGGACTGTCTTGTAGTAAATGTTGAAAATTTCTGGTTCATATTTTTTCTGCTATCTCTTCCCTTGAAGGTATTGTAGAAAAATGCATGGAAGAATGAAATAAAGCAAAATGAATTATTTTCTACTTATCTGACATATACTATGATTCATTCTGTGTAAACTTGCCAGCGGGTAGTCCTGGGCCTGTGCTACTTATGGGTTTTATTGGGCTGACTCAGCTGAACTGAATTAATGATTGATTTCTAAAAGCTACCCTTAAGTAAACTTAATCTATTTTTGCCTTTTTATGTCCTAGGTACCTAAGCCAGTAGATTATTCTTGCCAACCCTGGTAAGTATTAAAAATGTTTATGCTGCTAAGTTGAAATACCGTACTCCTAGCTTGAGGACACCTTAAATGTGTGGCTGTAAACCATGTTCCATTTCCATTTGTCCTGGCTAAAGGTGGTTTCACATGTAACAAAACACCGTAATGAATTTGTATACTGCAAGTCATTCTGTATCGTGATTGGTTAATGGTGTTTGTAGGTGTGTGTATGAGAGTGCACTGAACCATAAATGTCTATAACAGACACAGAAAGGAATGGGATATATCATGATGTAGCTCACATTTTGGAAAGAAAAAAAATCTCAAGAAGCAGAGAAGAAAACATTAATTATAGTATCCAAACCTAAGAATTACCTCAAAAAGATGATATCCAAAATTATAGTTTCCAGTGTAGGATGGTGGAATAAGATATAACTGTGTCTGATTTGGGTCTTGTTGTTTTGACCCATTTTACCAAGGAAGAGGAACACACATGTCTTCTCATCACAGTAAGTGAGGCCATAACAGGCCAAAGTAGTGACTGACCACTGTCCAGCTCAGTGAAGAAATGAGTTTCTCCTGGCATTTCAAGCAGGAGTTACAGGGATCAGGAATGACATAAAAGCAACTGTATCAGTGAAAATCCCACCTCAACCCAGGTTACCTCTTATAAACGTGGCAATGCTGGGCCCAGCTTAATAGTCTAAGAATCTCTTCCTTGTAGTTCAGCTATTAAGTCTCCATCTCCCAGCCACTGCGTACTCCTTCTCAGACTGCTGGAAAGGGGTCCTTGAGAAACTTCCAAGATTCTCTTCTCTCAGAAGTGTGATCTTTAGTTTAAGTCATGAGCCTCAAGGGCCCTCTCTCCTTCATGGAAGGAATGTTTCAACTAGGAAAAACATAGCAGGTGTAGATGAAGCATATTTACCAGTGGGATGCTGGTAGAGGAGGTAGCAGAACCAAGGATGGCAATGGTCAGTGATGGTTGTTATTACTTTATTATTTTTTTCAACTTTAAAACTATACATAAGAAGCAGAATAGTTAGTATTTCATCAGCTTATAATAAGCAGTATATGCTGAGTATTTTATATGCACTTACCACTTTACATATTTTATTTCACATTAAAGGTAAGGTTGTAAACCATTTCCACTTTCTGTTTGTCCTGAATAAATGTGTTTTCACATGTAATAAAAATTTTCCAAAAGTTCGTACATGAAAGATATTACTGTCATTGTTATTACTTGAGAGAAAAGGGTGAAGTCAATGTAATCAGTGTAACCTGATTACTTTGGTCTATCGCCAGTTTGAAGAAAAGGCCAGAACCCTTTTTAGTGTATGGAATTCTCCCCAGACTTCTTGCTGCTTTCCAGCTGTCACTTCTGCCTTCCTTGTCATTACCTGCACTCTCTGCTGTACTCTTCTTGGCTTCAGCGCTGAGCTAGCCAAAGAAATTGTGATCAAATTGGGAGTCTTTGCTACATTTTAATATTTTTGAGGACAATTTTGAAATTTTTGTTACTATGGAACTTAAAACCAAATTAGTAATAGAAATGAAAGCGTATTTTTCATGCAGCGAGATTAAAATGTTTATAATTTTAGAGATAAGTCCTAATGTCACCACCTCATGGGTTTTATTGAATAACATGAGCAGGTACCTGCAAATTGTCCAGAAACAAGAGGGTGGGCAGGTTTATACTTGCTTCTCCTTTTTCTAAGTCATTCTTCCAAGTATGTAAAATTCTGTTGAATTATAAACAGTTAGAAAAACATTATTCCTAATGATTAAAACAAATCAAGATACCAAGACATTGGAAACACCTTAAATATAGGAATTAACAAAGATATTACAGTGTAAAAATTTTAGATTAAATTTTCTTTCCTTGAGCACCCTAGTCAGTTCATTCAGATTAAGTCGAAAGTTCCATGTGAAATATCTTCGACATGGGAACAAAACTATCAATCACTCATGAAAACTGTGAATTTCAGAAACATGAGACTCAACATCATCCATTTATTTTATTTGTTAGTTGTTTCCATGTTTTAAGTAGGTTGATCCCTCCAAGTGAATATTACTTCTAGAGACCATGAAATAAAAGAGAAAATCAACAAGGTTGCCTTCAACTGTCCATGTTTTATGTATGAAATGTGTGAAATGTTGGGATGAGATCTGAGGCTGAGGACTGTGAACCCTTTGAAAGTCTGAGTGTGGTAGATGCCAAGGCTTCTGTTGTCTTTTCCCTGTAGTCAAATAACCCGGCTTTTTACATTTTGCCAAGAGACAGTGTTGTTATGTGTATTACATGGGGAAACAGAAACTTACAGGGTTTCAACTTGGAAAGGCTAGGCTCAGCAGAGGCTGCTGTGATGCCATTATGCAAACTACTTGTACTAAAGAAGTCTTTAAATCCAAAGTGTAAAACCCTACTGCCTTCATATAGCTTAGATCTGGCATGGGAGTAAATTGTCTCACACTGCACCCTTTCTTTGAATGAAACAATGAGTTTAGAGAACTCTTTAAAAACTGAATGAACTCAGTAAAATATCCAAACCCCTAACATTTGGATGGTTCCCAGTCCAATTATCAGATTTTTGCCAAATTAGCAGACTTCTGCCCAGTGGTATTTTTGGACCTGCACACAGGACCCTCAGTCATTCCTAGATTCTGCTTCCTTATACATGAACAAGCAATAAAGAAAAAGCAGACACTTGAGGAAAACTTTGAAGTATATAACAAATCTTTTGTAAGAGGAATGATCTGAGAATTGGAGAGCTTTTATAAATTAATATAGGAGCTTGGGAATATATAAGGTTAAGAAAAATTTCAAAAACATCAAATAAAGAAATAATGGGAGAAATATTTTTAAAATTAGATAATTGACATGAATGTTTGCTAGTTTTTGACTCATAAGAAATCTGGAAAGACACACACACACAAAAAAATGCCCAAGGGTATCAATTACTAAAGAAATAATGCATTTCCCAGAGGTCAATGCCATGCCTACCTTTTTGGAGAGGCTACTGAAAAATTAAAAAGTACATTATCATTAAAAATTTCTAATAGATAAAATATAGAATCTGAAAGCTTCCATGGAAGAAAATATCCAGTCACATCCAATGAGTGAGAAATTAGAATGAAATTAATTGGAAGTTAAAAGATAACAATGTAATGCCATTTAATATTTAAGAGGCAAAATCACTTCTCACTTAGAATCCTCCTCCCAACCAAACTACAAATTAAGTGTTGGTTAAAATGAAGTATTTACCTAAGTGTTGTCCTTTAAAATGTTGAATGTAATACTTCATTTATAGAAAAACTAAGGATTAATTATTAATCCAAAGAAAAGAAAAAATGCAGAATCCAGGAGTGGAGCAGCAGGCTTAGAGGGCAGAAAGGATCAGGTAGTTTGGGAGAGTGGGGAACTCAGAAGCCATTGGGTTAAGAATGAAAACTTTACAAGTAGAATATATACCATTGAAAATACAATGATAGAGAGTTTATGTATGGAATTTAGAAAGAACCGTTAAAGATAGAAAGCAACCCATACAAACTCCCATGCTTACCTTTTTACAAGTCAAATATTTTAAAACTTCTACACTGCTCAAAATGGGCTGGATGATGGCTTGTGTTTACAGATGTTGCAGAAAGACATTCTGTCTGTGACAGAATAGGCTTATGTCAGGAGAAAATTGGCTTTCCTTGCTTATGTCCCCAGTTAGAAGTTAATGAATTTTAGCATAAACACAGTTATTTAAAATACCTATACAGTAATAAAGGAAAATAAACTGATTAAATATTAGACCCAGGACTTGGAGTAGAATGCTTATATGATAGATTGCTGCTTTTCATTGTTTTTAAAACTATATTTTAAGTCAATTAACACACACACACACACACACACACACTCACACAATTTCTTTTTCGTGGTGATGGCTAGACAGAATGATGGAGTGAGGGTTGCATGCAGATACAGGGCAGTCTTTAGCCTTTAAGATGGATACACAGGAAGAGTCTCTTAACCTGAACAAACAAATTAACTGTGTTGCTAGAAGTGTGTATTCACATAAGAGCACAGTGTACAAGGGATCTGACAAGCCCTACATACAGAAGGATGGGAATAGAGATGCAGGGATGAGAAGAGATAAAGCAGATAAGGTAAGCACGAAGCAGGCTGTACTAGATCTTAATAAGTTGTAGGTTATCATAACTGCCTTAAAACTGTGTCATTGGCACAAAATGCCGCTAACGTCCCTTTATGCATGGTTGAAGACTACCTATATCCGACTCCACCAACTTTTGTTGAATGTCTACTGTGTACATTTTAAATAAATAGTGTAGATTAAAGCATACATTTATACTGAGTTTATGATTTTATATGTGAGTCAGATACTTATCTTGAATATTAATTCATGAATTAATTAGCTTGAAAAGAACCAGTACAAATGTAGTTTCCTTTTAATTTCTGTTGCTCCAGATCTTTGACCCTTGCCACTATGTGGAGTGCTTACATTTGATGTGAGAGGTCATGCAAGAATAATTTAATTCAGAGTTTGGATATTTTACTATGATAGTTATTGTTTTGACAGAGTTTAGTTGTGCTTAAGGGCCATATAGTCTAGGGAAACTTGAGCTCTGGTTTTTAAAGATATCTGCTTTTGAAAATGATTTCTTTTGAAAGTTTGTTTCTTTAGAAATTTGTTTGTCAAAATTGTGAACTAAGATAATTAATCTCACATCTAAATAATAATTATTTTATAATAATTTAAATTATTTCAGTCATTTAAAAAAGATCCTCCAAAGAAATTTGATAGTATACATAGGAAAGGTGAAGTCTTGAAGTCTTTCCCTCCCTCCCTCCTTCCCTCCCTCCCTCCCTCCCTCCTTCCCTCCCTCCCTCTCTATCTGTGTCGTATGTAGGGCTATGCCTCCGGTAACTCTTCTTCCTATCTGTTCCTAATCTTCTGACTCTCTTGTCTTCGTCCCTTCTGTTTATCTCATGTTTACTGGTGCTCACTGGCTCTTTAGGCATTGTTCATTTTGCTGATGTTAACATTGTACTATATTTGTGTTTAGACATATTAGAGAGATTTTCCAAATCATTATGTAAAGCAATGTAATTAGCATACACTTAAAGCCACGGCAAATACTTATATTTAGCCTCTCTTTTCAGATACATCCATCTAATTTTTCTGTCTTCTCACAGGTATGCTGGCCCAATGGAAAGACTGCAGGCAGAAACGGAACTTATTAACAGGGTGAATAGTACTTACCTTGTAAGGCACAGGACCAAAGAGTCTGGAGAATATGCAATTAGCATTAAGTAAGTAGGACAAGTGGTCTTGTAGAAATAGATTTCCTGTGTTCATAACTGTGTAGGTCATGTGACACATATAACACTGAAGTTGAAAACCAAGGTTCTAATTGCAGCAGAAATAATGCATTTATCCAGACAGTTCATTAATACTGGAAAATATCTGCGAGGAAAACAGTAATGGGTGTTATAGGCTGCTAATTGGTATAATAGATTTCTTTCATAACATTATATTTTGTTGACTTGATATGTGTGTATTTCTTGTAAATTCGAAGAATATAAACTACTGGATTTTGTCTCCTTTTTTTGTACTCTCAAACTAAATTTACTAAGTAAATTAAACATAGTGATTAGTCAGATCAAAGTTTTCTCTCACTTCAAATATTGTTTGTATCTTCAGCCCATCTAGTAAATACATGTTGTTAATTAGCTGTCACCATTGTATTGGCACACGTATATATTTTGTGTTTGGAATTAATTCCTATAATGTTATTGGGGCATGCCCTCTGGTCATTATTGATTTCTACTGATTAAAAACACATTTATATTCATAAGTTATTCATTGCCCACAGGTACAATAATGAAGCAAAACATATCAAGATTTTAACAAGAGATGGCTTTTTTCACATTGCAGAAAATAGAAAATTTAAAAGCTTAATGGTGAGCATTGATTATTTCTTTTTGATCTATAATTCCCATTTTGTGCTGTTAAGTTAGTTTAACTCTATAGTTTCTTAGCAATGTTACCCATTGAAAATTATTTAAAGAGAATTATAGTGAGGGCTTTAGCAAAACCCTAACTTTCCAGGATGAAGAATTCCAGTGCAGTTTTACATTGCTCAGATGGTATCGCTCATTATAAATGAGGCTTTAAGTTTTAGATAAAATTTTAGAGTCCACACTACTCATGGCTCTCAGAGCAACAGCCAACTCAAGTGTAACTGTCAGTGGTTTGTATGGGTGTTTGAGTGTTTTGTCTCAGTGGCAAATGGCTATTACGTCATTACATCATTCCTCTTCTTATGTCCTCTGTCTCACCTTCCAGCTACCTTTAGTCATGATCAGTTATGATAAGAAAGATTTTAATTAATAAAATACCTGTTACATTTAGGTCTATTTCATACAAGAGGACATAGAAAGTCAATTTGTAATTTTCTTTATATTTTCTGCTATTATAAATTGTGTAATCACGGTTCTCATTCATTACATTAGACAATTAGGCATCAGTAAGTTTATGTTTTGGCCACTGTGATTTGTTGAAATTACATAGAAGTTTTGTGTTGAAATTAAAAAAAAAACATATTGTGGTTAGAATATGGTGATAAATTCTGACAATTTGTAAATGTCTCAGTAACTTCCTTAGTAGGTATATTGTGTATATGTCTTACAGACTACACATACATTTCATTACACACACTGTTAACAATACATCGTATTTACCTAGAAGTCTTCAGATCTTCTTTTTCACTTAGATAGTTTCTTGAACTAATGAGGAATTTGGACACGGGACATAGGATAGATTTGTTGCTGTTAAAGAACTTTGATTAGCTTTGAGAGGGAAGACACATTGATGAAGCTATGAATCAAATGACATATACTACACCTTTCCTGAAAGTAACAGAAATCACTTAGGAATACAAATGAGGTAAAATTGAGTATAAGGAGGCTTAAAAACTCAGCCAGCTTGAATACCTTACCTAAAAACCATTTCAAGATAGGGACCAGTGTTAAAGAAATCGAAGTGTCTTAAGCAGAGAGAAAAGGAAATAGGAAGAAATTTGTAGACATAAATAGGACATTTGAAATTCAAAAGGAAAGGACAGGCAGCATGGACAGTCATGGAAAATGGAAACTCTTGTCAAACTGGTAACCAGGATCCACGCATCCACCCTGCTAGAGATAACTTACATTCTGTTGTATCTACTGGGCTGTGAAAGAGAACAGAGAACGAGCTGGACCAGAAGAAGTTCCTCATATAATAAAAACCTGGGAAGGATGTGACAAGTGGGTACACAGATAATGAGTGACAGGCACAGCCTGGACATGATGAAAGCATGCATGGGGCACTCCATCTCTGCAAGACATGCCAGCTGGAGCTCTTACCTGCAGAACTTTTTTGAGTGGTAATGAGGCTTCCTCACAGTGTTATAGTTGATGTGACGCTTAAAAAATGCTGCAGGACCAAAAAACGACTGCCAGCCCTGCAGACATTGAAAAGTCACGAAAGAAACTCCTCTTGGAGAAGACACACAAGAAGGATGAAAGGAATGGCCACTGGAAGGGACCCATCATCTCAGCTTTGTATCCTTAGTTCAGCCCATGGAAGGCCTATAGCAGGGAAGGTTAAGGATGAGAAAAGCCAGTGGCACTAATATGGGCTATAGTTCTTATATGGCTGTGACTATATTGAAGCCGACAAACTCCACAATTTAAATAATTTGTAGCAGAGACCATTAGAGTTTATCCATTGGTCTCCCGGAAAGGGAAGTAAAGGCACTTGTCTCAGAGTTCAAATAAATGACACAAATGCCATGTGTCACTGATGAATGCCACTGTTGGGGACACATACCATACATATGTTATTTTTTTCCCTTCCACACCTGAAAATCTTTTATAGGAAAGCTCAGACCATAATAGTTCAAAAGAGATGATGGAGAATTAAGAGCAAAGGTGCAGAAACTAAAAAGAAGAGGAACCAGCTAGAGGATACTTGTGTAAATAAATTAATGAAGACAAGGAACAGAAAGCCTTTAGTCATAAGCAAAGGCCTTTTGCCAGCTTTAGCAAATAGCTACCAATTGCTAAAGAAGCCGCTGAACTAGCTGGAGTTTTCCCTGCTTTTTGTTCATGTGTTGAATAAATTTATTATGAATCTTTATCTTTAATTTTTGGAGATTATGTATTCAATAAATTCAATAAACAGATAAGCAGTGATATACCAAATTTATGTACTATACATTTGTTAAATTAAAAGTTTATGTAGAATAAAAATCTATTATTTTTTCCAAAAGGCAGACTTGGATTCGAATAAAATGATTTAATAGAACGAGGCACAGATAAAATTCACAAAGAAGAGTATGAATTTCGAATTATTTTGAATCTTAAAAGACTCAATCACTATTGTTTTAAGAGACCTCAAAATAAAATGACTGAATTGATCTAAAAATAGCTTACAAGTTAGGCAGTACATGTGTGTCAGAGAATTCAAGATAGTGGTGTTCTGTAGACCTAAGACAGAAATGCCATGTGGATACTTGCCAAGAAGAGGTGGTTCATATTATGATAACATACTCCTTTGGAAGAGGAGAGGCGGTTTCAAGATGTAAGAGTTGTCTTTAAAACAAATGAAGGTCATCGGACCTCTAGCAGACACGGGTTATTGTGGTATGTTATATAGCACATCTCCCATCTCAGTAAGTCTGATGTGTAGACTTGCACCATTTCTTAGTAGTTCAGCATCTCACTCTCCGAATTACATTATTTTCCGCTGCATACGAATCACCTTATAGCTTGGAATAAAATATCTATCAGAAAGGATTCTAAGCACATGCAGACTCTAAAAGTTTATTCTAAATTAACTGGTGTCTCACAGAAAAGGCTGAGTTTGGTGCTTGGGACCAGAACTTCTTCCCTTGGGTTTCAATAGCTTGGTTAATCAAAGTCTTTGTTTTTCTTTGTCATTAAGTTCCAACCCTAAATGCCTTTCTGATTCCAGATTACAAGGCATTAATTTTGTTCTGATTTTTCATGTATGCCAGACAAGCTATGTCCAAATGTTGTTTGTAAGCCATCTCCAGTGCCGGTTTCCCTGGTAATTGGAATGACTGGCCCACACTCATTATTTCTTGGGGTTGGATTGTTGACACCACTGTGTCGGCTGAGATAAGGGAAGCTTAGAGATTTCTTTTGTTTAGAGTCATCTTATTCGCTTGTTGTACCTGAAGGTCAATGACTGCTAAAGCAGGGGTGGATTAGACTAAACTACAGAGCGCATAAAGCCATGAATTGGAAATAATCCACACTGGTGCTCCGTAATTCGACTCAGAAGCCTGTTAGGAAGATTTACCACCTAAGACTGTAAAAACATAACTAAAATACTTTCCATGCTTAGCCAGGTATTAAAGACCATCTGCAGTTTACTAAATTGCCTGACCTTGGTTGTTAGAAAAGTCTTTTTTTTCCTTCTGTAAAAATATTAAATGACCAACAAAACTTTTTTCTGTTCAATAATTCAATAGTTTATAGCCAACTTCACATTAATCTTACTAATGATTTATAATTTATAAAATTCATGTTCTCTCTCATAAAGTTAAATTAAAATCCAAAGCTATTGAACTGCACAATTTGTTTCAGATTTATATTTATATTGTCAAGGAAAATAGCACATCTTAATTGAAGTTTCAAGACTAAAGGAACAACGCCTTGGTATCATTGATATCAGTGATGTCATATGCAAACACAGAGTTTTTCCTTAAGCTTTTTATTTCATCATCAAAACTAAAATGATTATATTTTTACAAACACAATTTAACTTCTGAGCTACTCTTAGCAAATCATAGCAAAATCAGCATATTACAAACACCATTATTCTCATATAGGTAGCCATTTCTAAGATACATTGTTCTCTTTAGTGTTTTGTTTTCTTTGTTTCCTTTTCCCCTTTTGCTGTTAGTCAGATCCCACGCACCTTTGTTTCATTAAACATTCCAGTTCTTTGGGCTCAAGGAAGATCAGTGAGCTGTGTGAAGTGTTTTATGACTCTCATTTTCCAAATATGGGAACTGACAAAAGACTCTTCATTTACTTTATCTGATGATTTAGATAAATCATACTGCTTTCAGTTTATTAATGTGACAGAATATGTGTGTGTGTGTATACATATTAAAATGTATGTGCTCTTTGCACAGGCGAAAATATGTAGAGACCAGAGCAAGACATCAGATAATATAGTCTCCCTTTCTCTTCACCCCATTCACTCTCAGACCCTGGAGCTAGGCTGACAGCCAGCTGTCTCCTCCACTCAGTAGTTCTGTGGTTATAGACACATGTGGCTACAACGTGATTCCTACATGGGTGGCTGCAGTGTGAACTCAAGTCTTCACCCTCATGCGCTGTAACAAGTGCTTCTATCTGCTGATCATCTCCCCATTCCAGAACTGGGATCTTTATTTCGCCACCTTTGTGTCTCAGCCCTGGATACCCCCACCTGAAATGATCTCTTCCCCATCGCTATCTATGGAGGTTTTTACCTGGTCTTTGATTTAACCAAGCCACCCCCATCATGCTGTCTCTTCTTGCTTCCCAGTTGAACACACTAAAGAAAGTTCTCTGTGTCCCTGAGGTCTGATAACCCTTCACTTTCCCATCTGCGGTAAGAACTCCTGGGGAATACGCACCTTGGCTTCAGCATTTTTCTGACCCATGAAACACCCAGAGCAAAGCAGTACACAGCACGTCTGAGTTACACCGAAAAGAATAAATCATTGATAATCCTTTTTTTTTTTTCATGTTGTGAGTGAGTTCTGGCCTGATTGATTTCTTTTAGGAAACTTGAACTTAACCACTGACTAGATGTGTTGGATCAATGGACAATGTTATTTTCTCAAGAAATGAGTTGCTCTTCCATACTTTTTAAGGGTGCCATGATAGAAGCATTGACTACTTTGTTTAAAGTAATTTGCTTTTATTTTCATTGCAACTTCTTATCAAATACTTGGTACCTGTCATATTAGGCTACTGATAACATTTTCATTATGAATTATTCTTTTTGGTTCATAGTAGAAGGATGTAGATGTGTGGAGAATAGCAAACTAAGATACACAGAAAAAGGTTTTCCTGAAGATTCTGTTTAAAGTATGGTAGAGGTTTATATGGCTTTGAGATGTTTAAGACAAAGTATTTCTAAACAGCAATTAGAAAGAACCACCTGGCTGTCCTTTGTGACTACTGGGTGACGTTGAGAGCCGAGATGCACACTAGCCCTTCATCAGTGTAAGGCAGACATGATGCTGAACAGTGTTGAGAGCTTCATGAACCTTTTATTTTTAATGGAAAAGTACATTTAGTAATAAGTTTGTTTTTCTGACAAGTGGAAAGCAAAATGGGGGAAAGTAGAAATTGCTACACAGTCAAGCAAACAGCTGTTCCTTTCATTTTTCTTCAGAAAGACACGTCTCTCACTAATAACAACAGTAATTACTACTCTGAGATCGAAGTTTAGCATGGCTTCTTTTCAGTACCACATCTGACTGAAGACAAACAGGATGTTCTGCACGCCTGAAGAACAATAGAGAATAACCAACATGAACAAATGTCTCCAGTAAACAGGATAGCATCTTGGGGGTCAGGGGTTGTGGGGGGTGTCAGGTACATCCAGACAGTTAGCAGAGCTCTTACTCAACTTTTATATATTTGGAAATGTTAGGCTTAAAATGATTGCCCTTGTATCATATATAATTAGGTATTAAAGGATTTACTGAGAACAAAAATAACAAGATGTCTCTTTAATCTGCTCTTTTAAAGGAACTTGTGGAGTACTACAAGCACCATTCTCTTAAAGAAGGGTTCAGGACCTTGGATACAACGCTACAGTTTCCATACAAGGAGCCAGAACAGTCAGCTGGACAGAGGGGTAATAGAACAGGCAACAGCTGTGAGTATTGTAATTCAGAATATATTTTTAAACATATATATATTTGGTCACTTAAGGGGTTTGAAGCAAAATAACATTAGCTGTCTTCATTCTGAAGTTTGAAATATGGCCAATTAATATGCTAATGCATTGAGCAGACACTTTTTTTTCCTGGAGCTAACCAGAGTCAAAAGGACCAAAAGGTTCATGACTGTCTAGTTACAGGATTTTGTGATAAATTAAAAATTGTATCTGTGTTAAAACAGCCATCAAAATGTAAGTGATATATTAATGTGTGAAGTTTTGTACTTTTCACTAGGTTTTACGTTAGCCAAGCTCTTTTTAATTTATACATAGCATTTGTGTCTATGACGCTGTTTCGTGCATAGTATCTACCAGAGCTCTTCCAGTGTGCCTAGTATCCTAAAGCTCCTAACATTACTGTTTCAACCCAGCATTTTGAAAGTATTAACATATGTTGTTAGTATTTTTTAAAACTATACACAATCCTAGGTAATCATAAAGGATGACTACACACAAACAGAGATATTCAGATGCATCTCAGCTTAGGCAAATCCGAATCATAAACTCTGCCACAGCATTTCATGTTTTGCAAACCTCTTGGGCAGACACTCAACTATGCAGAGAATGTGGTAACGAGAGAAAAACAAACCTACTTTGGAGGAAAAATGAAAACAATTTTACCATTGTTAGAATCCTGAATTAATTTATTAACTACAGCTGGACACCTGGAATTTCAAGAAGTAGTTCCAAAAAGGATTTGCCCCAGTGTACTACAACTTGAAGTTTGTTTGGTTTTTTTCCCCATTAAAATCTTATACTAAAGGGGGATGGAAGATGCTCAGGATTTCAACATCAGCACAGTTCCATGTACTTCAGAACAATATGGAAGTTATTTGTTGTGTTAGCTGAGAGTTGCCTTTCTGTTCATTTTTGTAAAGCTTCATGGTTGTTCTTGTGGTCGTTGGCATATGTCCAAACTCATGCCATGAGAAGAGCAAGAATACGTTTAGTCTTGATGTTTAAATACCTTTATAATTTTATCTATTTTTTAGCCCAAGATTTTCTGATCGTCTTAGATTATCATGCAGGCCATACTTTTACTCATTCAAAATGGATGTTTATCCTAAAAAGTAGTTTTCCTACAAATTTCTTTGAAGTCTATCCAAGTTGTGACTTCTGTCCTCTTTTTACTTAACAACTCCTTTTAGGTAAACATAAGATTAAACATTTTTGTTTTTCTCTGACTTTTGAGTGGATGGACTCAACAGAAATTTCAGAAGAGGCCATCTGCAGGTGGAATCACATCTGAATAGTTTCCTTGGTTCTTCACTGCCCTATGGAGGAGTAGAGAACAGAGGAGTGATGTCCAAAATTTAGTAAGGTCATTATCCCACCGTGACCTTACCTTTCCTTGTTTCTATGACCAAAATATATGGAAAGATTAAATTTAAAAAGGAAGAGTTTATTTTGGCTTACAGTTTGAGGATATGTGGTCCACCACAGAGGCTAGGAATAGCAGCAGATGATCTAGGGGACTGGAGTAATGCAGGTACCTTGACAGGAATCAGAGAATTGACATGAAGTCGAGCCAGACCATACAAGTCAAGGCCCACCTCTAGTGACCTAATTCATCCAAGGAGGCTCCCAAACAGTGCTGCTAACTCTGACATAGCATGCACTAGATTTTAAAGGATTGAATAAGTTTATGTTTGCTGTTCTCATAGCAGCCTGTATTATGCATTGATGATTAACAAGTTTGTCTTGCTGACTTTATATTAAGCCTTGATTTAGGGTTAACCCTTAATAAAAATGCTACATTATTTTTTTTTAACCTGCTGTGCTTCCTAGGAGATGGGAAACAAGAAATGCTACATATTCTGCACACAATGGTGGCTTGAGGGAGCCTTTAGTCTTCATCCATGGTTCATAGCTGATGACTATCTAAACATAGCTTTTACCAAGCAGCATTGCCTTAAGATAATGATTCAGACAGAGATCTTGAGTTTTCATTACTTCTAAAAAAGATGTAGGATGCAGAGAAAGTAAGATAAAGCCCAGAACCTTCTTGTGTTCTTCACAAAGGTGAGATGTGAGCTTCACTGGCAAAACTGGGTAACTCGTAACACTGGAGGTGTAAATTGTACAGGCACCTTTGTGATTGTAAAAGAAAGGCTTGGCTCATTTTTCGATGTATGTTAAATATGATAGGATTATGGAAGAGCTACTGTGTGCCAATGAAAGTTAATATGCAGAAGGATACTGATTGGAATCAAACACAAGTCCATAGTATCAGGCAGAGAGCGTTTTATGGGATATAAAGTCATCTTCTGCATTCTCTGAACTGTCTATCATGGTGTCAGGGTGGTGCTATTATTGATGTCCTTTTAATAACTTGAATGTTTCCAAAATGGGAGAAAGACGAAAGGAGAGGGAGAGACGAGAGGAGGGAAAGCTCAGGGGTAATGTGAACTGGTTTTCTTCTATTGAAACTGTAACAGTTTGGTGGAAGATATTCCATGGATCTATAAAAGAATTCCATAATTATCCAAAATAGCCCTAACCATTCTGCCTTTGGCTGCTTTTGATGTACCTATATACCTGTATATTTGAAGGACACTAAAGTGGCTTTTGTTTTTTGTACTCTACAATGAATACTTGGTTATTTTCAAGTCTGTTCTTTTAGGCAAGTTAGCCAGTTTGAGCCTCAGTTTTCCTATTTGAGCAATGAGATTGGACATTGTGCTGTGTCCTTTGAGAAATCATATGCTAATTTTATTTCTTTGTATGCATGAGAGGAGGAGATAGAGTGTGATTTTGATGAATCATTACACTAGCAGAAGTGCAGGATTTCCTATTTGTGAGCCTAATTCAAACCTTAAACATTTCATAGCATTGATAGTATTCTTAGTAGGTAGACAGAATTTTTTATATATATATATATATATATATATATATATATATACATGTGAATATTTTTGTGCTACTATTTATATTACTAATAAAGGACATGAGTAGGTCAATTAGTGAAGTTTGCATATACTCTATAGATTAACTAACCAAATTGTATTCAGCACAACTTTCTGCCTTTGATAATTGTACTATGACTAGAATGGTGAATATCTTTGTAGGAAAAACATACAGAAGTATTTGACAGTAAAAATGGATTATGTCTGCAGTGTGTGTATTCAGATGGCTCAAAACCAAGCATAGACTGGCAAAGCAAACATTGTAAGATGCTAATATTTGGGTACTGTGAATGAGGAATATGAGAATTGTTTGTGCTGTTCTTGCCTCTTTCTTAAGTCTGAATTATTTTGGAGTTAAAAAAAATGGTTGATGTAAAGATAACCCTATCTTCTGGCCAAGTCCAAGGAATCACAGGAAGGTGGCAGCATCCTTTTTCTTATTGCCTCCAGATGCAGAGGAGCCTGGTCACTGATTTGGGGACATGTAGAGTACCTGTGCACTTGAGTGGCTCACATTTAAAGCTTTGTTGTGATCTCCTTACGTCTGTTTACTCATTCCTTTACTCAATGAATATCTAACACTTACCATGTGCCAAGACTGTGCTAGATGCTGGAGCTACAATAATAAATAGGGCAAACTGGGGGATGGGAACACACAAAAGACAAATAAAGTCATAGAATTCCATAAGCCTTCTGAAGCCAAAGAGTATAAGCGAATGTGTCATAGAGGTGTTTCTCAGCCTGCAGGTATGGAGCAAGACTTTTTGAAAAATGCCAGTTGGGATAAAGTTAAAGCACATATTAGAGTGACATCATGTGAGGTGGTGTGCTTTAGCAATTCCAGAGCAAGGTAGCTTTGTGAAAATGTTAAATTGCAAAACCCTTTATATGGAGTTAGTGCCATTTATATTTACTAATCTCAATATTATATATTATCATTGTCTTATTCTTGAAATGACCTGACAATCTCATAGCATTTATTAGTTATATTTTAATACAGTAAGGGATAATATTCACTTAAGCTACTGAAATATGCACTTACGGTAGTTTAGCTTTCTGCCTTTGTAATTCAACATGACCATATCTACCCACTCTTATTTTATGATTCCTTTATTTTATGCTCAGTCCTTTGTCATCATTTCACTGGTCATTTTGTGTTTCATATCTAATTTTATTCTGATAACCTTAACATTAATTTTAATTTCATATTAGTTTCCCAGGACTGTCATAAACATTACCACATAATGATTTAAAAAAAAATAACCCAAGAAATTACTGTGGTCTAGAGGGCAGATGGCTAAAATCAAAATAGTGTCCATGTGTCTGTAGACTCTGAATGGCTGATCAATAGTTAGCATTCTTTGGTCTGTAGATGTACCACTCCAACCTGCTGGATCTTTATCTCTCCCCTCTGTGTGTCCTCATATTTTCACTTAGAAAAGCAGTTGCAATTGAATTTAAGGCCCACCCCAGATAGTTGGTCTTTACTTGAGATCCATAACATCTACAAAGACTGCTTAGTTTTAAATTAAAGCATTTTCCACTGGATCAGACTGGAACTATCCTTATGTGGGCTATGGGAAGACTGTTAGACCCATGATAATCTTTTTTTTTGAATAGTTTATTTATTTACATTTCAGATGCCATCCCCTTCCTCCATTTCCTCACCCTAGAAACCCCCTATCTCATCCCCCCTTCTCCTTTTTGCTTTTATACTATTTTAATTACATGCAAGTATTAAGGTCAGTTCTAGGTTGAGGAACTAGCAATACAATAGATGCAAACAGTCAAGGAACAAGTAAGACAATAAAAATAAATAATCAAAGAACAAGCAAGGCAGTAAACAAAATTCCAGAAACACTCCCGTGATCACTGTTTGTAAGGGCTTATCAGGATGACAAAAATATCTGAGCCAACTTCCCTGTCATAGACCAAAGTCATTTTCATGTCTGAAGCCTACTTACTTGTTCTAGCCTAAGATTTAGATTCCTGCCTGAAATTACTTCTTTGTTCTAGCCTAAGATTTAGATT